CTGATTCCAAGGGACCTGTGCCCTAGTTGACCATGTTCATTCCAACCCCAAGTATAAACGTCTCCTGTATCTGGTTTTTAAAGAACAGAATAATTAGAAATATTTAATCTTACCAGTCAAACATACTGAATGCCAATTTCCTGCTGCAATTTGAGTAACAGTCAATATTTGTAAAGCTTCAATTATAGTCAGTTCAGTTTTGTCAGTTAAATCACCTAAACCCAACTGACCTCGACTTGAGATAAAAACATTAAATTATAAGTGATAACTTACCTACCTTCCTATACCCTGACTAAACACCTGTCCTGAAAATGTTAAACATAACAAAAACCCTAGACCACATGATATCGATCTTATTTTTATTGTTAAACTAAGTGGGCGATCAACTGCAATGATGTTTCCAAAATCACAAACTTTTAGTAAGGTAACAGTTTCGTCTACCAATGAAATATACTGTACGAATAAAATCCCACCTACCCTTCACACAATATACATTCTGACCATCTGAAGCTACTTGAACAACAGATATATCAGCAGAGACGCTATTCCCGTGATTTTTTTCAATTCCAGTGATGGATTCAGGTGTTGCGATAAAGAGCCATGAATCATTCGATCCTATGGACAGACCTGTAAGGTTTAGGTGTTTTTCCTGTAACAACCCGACCAAACAATAAGACGTCGGAAAATCTACATCGTGACTAACAGTTGGAATCCAAGTTACCACGTGAGAATAGTGAACAGTGCCAATCTGCAAAAACCAAGCAATCACTTGGGGTGAACTCGAAAGTTGATTTCCATTCTCCACCATAATGACGGTATGCTCCAGATGTTAAAACTGAGCTTTCTGTAGAAATTTTCATAAAGTCAAGGCCTGAAAGATGAATGATATTAGAGCACGTTGATTCTTCTAATTATAATGAAAAATAGGTTCTGTATAGCAAGTAAATTCGAATCCTCAAATAACAGTAATGACCTGGAAATTCAATTAGTCGCATTTTGTTTCCTATATAAAATTGTACTCTGTCGCACAACTTAACCAAAACCAGTAACAAGTGTGACTTTTGAAATTGCTTTACAATGAAGAACTAAGCAAACAATTGTTAAAAGTAAATATAAGAACCTAAGATTACATATTATTCGCAACATCGAAGCAGTCCATTATAAAGCTAGCACTCGCAACAACGCACCTTCTGTTTACGCATCGTCACAGGAAAATGACAGACGCACTAATGAGTAATGTTACACATTGAACCAAAACAAAGATACATACATTTTCCAGGAACAATTTAATTTTTCATATTGCTTACAATTAGGAGGTAGATGTTGCTTTAATTTATATGTTCCAATAAACATACCGGTAGTATCAATACTGTTTCGACGACATGAGTTGAGAAAGAAGCGCCTAATTTAGTGATACTCATGAAACCTGTGTATCACGCTTTGTTCAGGAGATGCACTCAATACGAGTTTATAGGAGCACATCAAACGAACATGCGACACGAAAGGTTACATGACGTCTATGGAACTTCACATTTATCATAACCTGTTGTTGTATTATGCCCAACGACACGCCTAACACTATTACAAGTTTGAGGTTACAGACAATTAATCCGATGCGCGAATGACATTCCCCAATGGAGAACATGGTTTAAGAAGTGATGTCACATTTCGTACTCAGTCCTAAGGTATCATTCATCGTGGTAGGAGCACTTTCGAAAACCTGCCTACAGATATGTCGGAAATGTTCCCGTCATAGCATTTATTACACTTAGGTGTAACTAAGAAGCTTACGTCTTTACAAAATGGTCTGTCCAGCATGCAAACGAAGCGAACAGATTCGTCCTTTTCGGCATCCACAAATGTAACCAATAAATGTTATAGACGACACACGACTTTTGACTTCCAAAGAAAATGTTGTTCACTTGATGAAGTTCCTGTTTGTAAGACAACGGAAAGTAGTTTGTTCTTATTATAAGTATGTTCTGCGATTGTGATATATTACCGTCGTTAAAACGGTAAGCTGATGCAAGCAGCACATCCTGCACTTGTTGAAGAAGCTTAGACAACAAAAGTTGTCTGAGAAGGTCGACCTTCTCAGACAAAGATCATTGTCGAAAATCCTTTGACCAATTTGTCAAATTAATTACCTCTCCCATTAGTAACAACATGTCTGTTGCTGAGCCATGTTGAAGATCGATGCTATCGAGGAGTTGATCCAACCTTTGTCGGTCGGTTAGATCTCTGCATTTCAGAATAGACCCAAACAACATACATACTAGATGTGACGTACTTAATGAATTTGCGCGGTAGTGTTTTCACTACATCATATAAAAATTAAAGCAAATAAATGATATATAAGGTTCCGAAAAGAAACAGACCCGCAGTTTACAAGCAGTTGTATCAGATTAAGTCGGACTCACCGCCGAAGATGCCACAAGTATTTGCTGTTTGACAACACCTTAACCAGTAACACACACTAACTGAAACGTGCACAACCCAGTGAAATCAGAAGCAGGAAGCGAAGATGTTTGAAGATATGTTTGATAGGCTATCAGTATATCGAGAAGTGACTGATCTCAACGGGCTAGCTGTTGTAGGAGAAGTTGAGCACGACGTTCCCACTCGTGATCTGGTGTGGACGCGTAACCGAGCAACTTCAGCTGGGTGCATCCATGAGGGTGAATGCGGTCAGCATCGAATGTTGAATATACACGAAGCTATTGTTTTTGAGAATTTAAGTTCCGCCACAACTTAACAGTATGTTTTCCCAATATCAATCCTCATATTCATGCTTCAAATTCGTACAAAATATATTATCAATACGAACAAGTGAGTTTCATGTAGTAAATGACATACCAGATTTATTAGACATAATAATTTTGGTCTTTAACCATCGCAAGCGAACTTATTAATTTTGATTATCAGTTACAGTACATTACCCTGAACACGTGCTATTTAATATAGTCTAAATAGTATGTAATGAGATATTTTGTAGTCCCACAGCCTTATTCATATACCTTCTCTGAAGTCGTTATCATGTTTAGAATCCCCAAGGTCACGTATAGTTATGTAATATCTGTGTTTCATCCAACCAAATTCCATTAATGCATAGCATCTCCATCTGTTTGCTTCACTGCGGTCGTTGAAGGTATTTCTTCCAGAGTTTACGTACATGTTATCAACTGCCAAAAGGTCGTTTATATTTGATACATCCAGTTGTAAATTAGAACATATATGATCGAACAATATTGTTTTCAATCAGATCTTCATTAGGCTCTACTCTAATATACAATATTATTTATATGCATTTAGGAAATTATTAAACCAGCCAAAGCAGTTTATCAGTCAGTGATAACAATGTAATAGATTACCTAAATAAAGCCAGAGCGGCTTATGCCAATCTGGGCCACCTTTGGCGCCTTCGTGATGTTAGTCTGGCTGTAAAAGGTCGGATCTACAACGCGTCGGTGAGAGCAGTTTTGCTCTATGCTTGTGAAACCTGGCCTCTCCGAGTTGAGGACGTTAGACGACTCTCTGTGTTCGATCATCGCTGTCTCCGAAGGATTGCTGACATTCAGTGGCAACACCATGTCAGTAATGCAGAGGTTCGGCATCGTGTGTTCGGGCACAGAGATGATAACTCAATTGGTGTCACCATCTTGAAACACCGACTTCGGTGGCTTGGATATGTTCTCCGAATGTCGTCCCAGAGAATTCCACGTCGTGCATTATTTGCCGACTCTGGGACTGGTTGGAAGAAGCGGAGAGGTGGTCAGTGCATGACATGGTGTCGTGGCATGAAAGAAAGCTGCAAAGGACTGGCTTGTGTTGGTCCTTCACGACTCCCTGGTTGGGGTCCGAGAGATGGTGCTACACAGTGGCTAGAGACGTTATCAGATATGGCTCAGAATAGAAGCCAGTGGCGATCCTGCTGTAACCTTCTTTTACTTTCTTCATAAAAAGTGGTTGTGTCTCCTTTACCTGAAAGATTTCTTCTGATTGTACCTTTTCGTTCCGTCGTTACTACCACACTACCTTACTCCAATCTCTTCGTCATTGTTCTCTTGTTCTTTTGCGTTCCTTAGTTTTTTTTTTCTTTCTACTTCTCTTCGAATTCCCATTGTTTTGTGTGGCGCATATATATTGGCGCTCTCTTGTACCAATATTTATGTGTTCAAATAAATAAATAAATAAAATCATTACATACTATTTAGACTATATTAAATGGCACGTGTTCAGGGTAATGTACTGTAACTGATAATCAAAATTAATAAGTTCGCTAGCGATGGTTAAAGACCAAAATTATTATGTCTAATAAATCTGGTATGTCATTTATTACATGAACTTGGTGCAAGTTGAGGTACGCGACCTATATGATCGGCCTTTTCTAACACTTTCATCCTGTAGTGGGAAAGGAGCATCACCAGAGAGCTTAGGTTTATGAACTAGACACATCGCTTCTGTCACACTTGAGTGCAGTCGGCAGCATAACTTCACCAGTGCACCTTACGTCTAATTTTCTCAGTCATATCCACTTCCCGCAACCGGTCAACCTGACATGATAGAACGTACAGGGATGAGTATTTTACCCGGTACAGCTCGATAGCGCCATTATGATGAGCAATTTAGAGCAATGTGGCAGCAGAAAATTTGGGTCGTGAATGGCATATATAAATAAATAGTGAATTAAATCAAAGAAACATATTTTGAGTGGTGTGTTTGTTTTTGTGAAACCCGTCACTAAAACAACGTAAATAATATGAAGTAAAAAAAACTTGACTTAAAATGATGTTCCTCAAAGTTTACTTAATCTCAGTTCCCTTTTGAACAGAGAATATACAAGCTAATCACTTTTTAAAAATGGTTTTACAAGGTAGTTGACAGAATAAATAGGCTTAGTTGTGTTATAATTCACCTTAAAATAGACTGGGAAGTAATCTTGTTATAATAATTGAGAATAGACGCAAAAAAATAAAGTGGACTCTAAAATGGGAAAAGGATCAAACACGGAAATAACATCTAATTTTATACCGGCCGACAACACATTCGTTAAGAAAATAAGTTACTTGTGAAATAGATAGGTTATCAGGGAAATCTACTGGAGTAGGAAGGGCCAAGACAGATACACAACTTTCCCGTTCTTTCTCGGTGATAGAGTTTGATTTATTACTGATTCCAAGGGACCTGTGCCCTAGTTGACCATGTTCATTCCAACCCCAAGTATAAACGTCTCCTGTATCTGGTTTTTAAAGAACAGAATAATTAGAAATATTTAATCTTACCAGTCAAACATACTGAATGCCAATTTCCTGCTGCAATTTGAGTAACAGTCAATATTTGTAAAGCTTCAATTATAGTCAGTTCAGTTTTGTCAGTTAAATCACCTAAACCCAACTGACCTCGACTTGAGATAAAAACATTAAATTATAAGTGATAACTTACCTACCTTCCTATACCCTGACTAAACACCTGTCCTGAAAATGTTAAACATAACAAAAACCCTAGACCACATGATATCGATCTTATTTTTATTGTTAAACTAAGTGGGCGATCAACTGCAATGATGTTTCCAAAATCACAAACTTTTAGTAAGGTAACAGTTTCGTCTACCAATGAAATATACTGTACGAATAAAATCCCACCTACCCTTCACACAATATACATTCTGACCATCTGAAGCTACTTGAACAACAGATATATCAGCAGAGACGCTATTCCCGTGATTTTTTTCAATTCCAGTGATGGATTCAGGTGTTGCGATAAAGAGCCATGAATCATTCGATCCTATGGACAGACCTGTAAGGTTTAGGTGTTTTTCCTGTAACAACCCGACCAAACAATAAGACGTCGGAAAATCTACATCGTGACTAACAGTTGGAATCCAAGTTACCACGTGAGAATAGTGAACAGTGCCAATCTGCAAAAACCAAGCAATCACTTGGGGTGAACTCGAAAGTTGATTTCCATTCTCCACCATAATGACGGTATGCTCCAGATGTTAAAACTGAGCTTTCTGTAGAAATTTTCATAAAGTCAAGGCCTGAAAGATGAATGATATTAGAGCACGTTGATTCTTCTAATTATAATGAAAAATAGGTTCTGTATAGCAAGTAAATTCGAATCCTCAAATAACAGTAATGACCTGGAAATTTAATTAGTCGCATTTTGTTTCCTATATAAAATTGTACTCTGTCGCACAACTTAACCAAAACCAGTAACAAGTGTGACTTTTGAAATTGCTTTACAATGAAGAACTAAGCAAACAATTGTTAAAAGTAAATATAAGAACCTAAGATTACATATTATTCGCAACATCGAAGCAGTCCATTATAAAGCTAGCACTCGCAACAACGCACCTTCTGTTTACGCATCGTCACAGGAAAATGACAGACGCACTAATGAGTAATGTTACACATTGAACCAAAACAAAGATACATACATTTTCCAGGAACAATTTAATTTTTCATATTGCTTACAATTAGGAGGTAGATGTTGCTTTAATTTATATGTTCCAATAAACATACCGGTAGTATCAATACTGTTTCGACGACATGAGTTGAGAAAGAAGCGCCTAATTTAGTGATACTCATGAAACCTGTGTATCACGCTTTGTTCAGGAGATGCACTCAATACGAGTTTATAGGAGCACATCAAACGAACATGCGACACGAAAGGTTACATGACGTCTATGGAACTTCACATTTATCATAACCTGTTGTTGTATTATGCCCAACGACACGCCTAACACTATTACAAGTTTGAGGTTACAGACAATTAATCCGATGCGCGAATGACATTCCCCAATGGAGAACATGGTTTAAGAAGTGATGTCACATTTCGTACTCAGTCCTAAGGTATCATTCATCGTGGTAGGAGCACTTTCGAAAACCTGCCTACAGATATGTCGGAAATGTTCCCGTCATAGCATTTATTACACTTAGGTGTAACTAAGAAGCTTACGTCTTTACAAAATGGTCTGTCCAGCATGCAAACGAAGCGAACAGATTCGTCCTTTTCGGCATCCACAAATGTAACCAATAAATGTTATAGACGACACACGACTTTTGACTTCCAAAGAAAATGTTGTTCACTTGATGAAGTTCCTGTTTGTAAGACAACGGAAAGTAGTTTGTTCTTATTATAAGTATGTTCTGCGATTGTGATATATTACCGTCGTTAAAACGGTAAGCTGATGCAAGCAGCACATCCTGCACTTGTTGAAGAAGCTTAGACAACAAAAGTTGTCTGAGAAGGTCGACCTTCTCAGACAAAGATCATTGTCGAAAATCCTTTGACCAATTTGTCAAATTAATTACCTCTCCCATTAGTAACAACATGTCTGTTGCTGAGCCATGTTGAAGATCGATGCTATCGAGGAGTTGATCCAACCTTTGTCGGTCGGTTAGATCTCTGCATTTCAGAATAGACCCAAACAACATACATACTAGATGTGACGTACTTAATGAATTTGCGCGGTAGTGTTTTCACTACATCATATAAAAATTAAAGCAAATAAGGTTCCGAAAAGAAACAGACTCGCAGTTTACAAGCAGTTGTATCAGATTAAGTCGGACTCACCGCCGAAGATGTCACAAGTATTTGCTGTTTGACAATACCTTAACCAGTAACACACACTAACTGAAACGTGCACAACCCAGTGAAATCAGAAGCAGGAAGCGAAGATGTTTGAAGATATGTTTGATAGGCTATCAGTATATCGAGAAGTGACTGATCTCAACGGGCTAGCTGTTGTAGGAGAAGTTGAGCACGACGTTCCCACTAGTGATCTGGTGTGGACGCGTAACCGAGCAACTTCAGCTGGGTGCATCCATGAGGGTGAATGCGGTCAGCATCGAATGTTGAATATACACGAAGCTATTGTTTTTGAGAATTTAAGTTCCGCCACAACTTAACAGTATGTTTTCCCAATATCAATCCTCATATTCATGCTTCAAATTCGTACAAAATATATCAATACGAACAAGTGAGTTTCATGTAGTAAATGACATACCAGATTTATTAGACATAATAATTTTGGTCTTTAACCATCGCAAGCGAACTTATTAATTTTGATTATCAGTTACAGCACATTACCCTGAACACGTGCCATTTAATATAGTCTAAATAGTATGTAATGAGATATTTTGTAGTCCCACAGCCTTATTCATATACCTTCTCTGAAGTCGTTATCATGTTTAGAATCCCCAAGGTCACGTATAGTTATGTAATATCTGTGTTTCATCCAACCAAATTCCATTAATGCATAGCATCTCCATCTGTTTGCTTCACTGCGGTCGTTGAAGGTATTTCTTCCAGAGTTTACGTACATGTTATCAACTGCCAAAAGGTCGTTTATATTTGATACATCCAGTTGTAAATTAGAACATATATGATCGAACAATATTGTTTTCAATCAGATCTTCATTAGGCTCTACTCTAATATACAATATTATTTATATGCATTTAGGAAATTATTAAACCAGCCAAAGCAGTTTATCAGTCAGTGATAACAATGTAATAGATTACCTAAATAAAGCCAGAGCGGCTTATGCCAATCTGGGCCACCTTTGGCGCCTTCGTGATGTTAGTCTGGCTGTAAAAGGTCGGATCTACAACGCGTCGGTGAGAGCAGTTTTGCTCTATGCTTGTGAAACCTGGCCTCTCCGAGTTGAGGACGTTAGACGACTCTCTGTGTTCGATCATCGCTGTCTCCGAAGGATTGCTGACATTCAGTGGCAACACCATGTCAGTAATGCAGAGGTTCGGCATCGTGTGTTCGGGCACAGAGATGATAACTCAATTGGTGTCACCATCTTGAAACACCGACTTCGGTGGCTTGGATATGTTCTCCGAATGTCGTCCCAGAGAATTCCACGTCGTGCATTATTTGCCGACTCTGGGACTGGTTGGAAGAAGCGGAGAGGTGGTCAGTGCATGACATGGTGTCGTGGCATGAAAGAAAGCTGCAAAGGACTGGCTTGTGTTGGTCCTTCACGACTCCCTGGTTGGGGTCCGAGAGATGGTGCTACACAGTGGCTAGAGACGTTATCAGATATGGCTCAGAATAGAAGCCAGTGGCGATCCTGCTGTAACCTTCTTTTACTTTCTTCATAAAAAGTGGTTGTGTCTCCTTTACCTGAAAGATTTCTTCTGATTGTACCTTTTCGTTCCGTCGTTACTACCACACTACCTTACTCCAATCTCTTCGTCATTGTTCTCTTGTTCTTTTGCGTTCCTTAGTTTTTTTTTTCTTTCTACTTCTCTTCGAATTCCCATTGTTTTGTGTGGCGCATATATATTGGCGCTCTCTTGTACCAATATTTATGTGTTCAAATAAATAAATAAATAAAATCATTACATACTATTTAGACTATATTAAATGGCACGTGTTCAGGGTAATGTACTGTAACTGATAATCAAAATTAATAAGTTCGCTAGCGATGGTTAAAGACCAAAATTATTATGTCTAATAAATCTGGTATGTCCTTTATTACATGAACTTGGTGCAAGTTGAGGTATGCGACCTATATGATCGGCCTTTTCTAACACTTTCATCCTGTAGTGGGAAAGGAGCATCACCAGAGAGCTTAGGTTTATGAACTAGACACATCGCTTCTGTCACACTTGAGTGCAGTCGGCAGCATAACTTCACCAGTGCACCTTACGTCTAATTTTCTCAGTCATATCCACTTCCCGCAACCGGTCAACCTGACATGATAGAACGTACAGGGATGAGTATTTTACCCGGTACAGCTCGATAGCGCCATTATGATGAGCAATTTAGAGCAATGTGGCAGCAGAAAATTTGGGTCGTGAATGGCATATATAAATAAATAGTGAATTAAATCAAAGAAACATATTTTGAGTGGTGTGTTTGTTTTTGTGAAACCCGTCACTAAAACAACGTAAATAATATGAAGTAAAAAAAACTTGACTTAAAATGATGTTCCTCAAAGTTTACTTAATCTCAGTTCCCTTTTGAACAGAGAATATACAAGCTAATCACTTTTTAAAAATGGTTTTACAAGGTAGTTGACAGAATAAATAGGCTTAGTTGTGTTATAATTCACCTTAAAATAGACTGGGAAGTAATCTTGTTATAATAATTGAGAATAGACGCAAAAAAATAAAGTGGACTCTAAAATGGGAAAAGGATCAAACACGGAAATAACATCTAATTTTATACCGGCCGACAACACATTCGTTAAGAAAATAAGTTACTTGTGAAATAGATAGGTTATCAGGGAAATCTACTGGAGTAGGAAGGGCCAAGACAGATACACAACTTTCCCGTTCTTTCTCGGTGATAGAGTTTGATTTATTACTGATTCCAAGGGACCTGTGCCCTAGTTGACCATGTTCATTCCAACCCCAAGTATAAACGTCTCCTGTATCTGGTTTTTAAAGAACAGAATAATTAGAAATATTTAATCTTACCAGTCAAACATACTGAATGCCAATTTCCTGCTGCAATTTGAGTAACAGTCAATATTTGTAAAGCTTCAATTATAGTCAGTTCAGTTTTGTCAGTTAAATCACCTAAACCCAACTGACCTCGACTTGAGATAAAAACATTAAATTATAAGTGATAACTTACCTACCTTCCTATACCCTGACTAAACACCTGTCCTGAAAATGTTAAACATAACAAAAACCCTAGACCACATGATATCGATCTTATTTTTATTGTTAAACTAAGTGGGCGATCAACTGCAATGATATTTCCAAAATCACAAACTTTTAGTAAGGTAACAGTTTCGTCTACCAATGAAATATACTGTACGAATAAAATCCCACCTACCCTTCACACAATATACATTCTGACCATCTGAAGCTACTTGAACAACAGATATATCAGCAGAGACGCTATTCCCGTGATTTTTTTCAATTCCAGTGATGGATTCAGGTGTTGCGATAAAGAGCCATGAATCATTCGATCCTATGGACAGACCTGTAAGGTTTAGGTGTTTTTCCTGTAACAACCCGACCAAACAATAAGACGTCGGAAAATCTACATCGTGACTAACAGTTGGAATCCAAGTTACCACGTGAGAATAGTGAACAGTGCCAATCTGCAAAAACCAAGCAATCACTTGGGGTGAACTCGAAAGTTGATTTCCATTCTCCACCATAATGACGGTATGCTCCAGATGTTAAAACTAAGCTTTCTGTAGAAATTTTCATAAAGTCAAGGCCTGAAAGATGAATGATATTAGAGCACGTTGATTCTTCTAATTATAATGAAAAATAGGTTCTGTATAGCAAGTAAATTCGAATCCTCAAATAACAGTAATGACCTGGAAATTTAATTAGTCGCATTTTGTTTCCTATATAAAATTGTACTCTGTCGCACAACTTAACCAAAACCAGTAACAAGTGTGACTTTTGAAATTGCTTTACAATGAAGAACTAAGCAAACAATTGTTAAAAGTAAATATAAGAACCTAAGATTACATATTATTCGCAACATCGAAGCAGTCCATTATAAAGCTAGCACTCGCAACAACGCACCTTCTGTTTACGCATCGTCACAGGAAAATGACAGACGCACTAGGCAGTTTCCTGGAGTGATATAAGTGAAGGATTAAACAAGTTGAAAACACAAAGATATGTACAAGTTACTTGGCGAAATAAGTGGATAAGTGTCAGTAAGATTAGTTTTCACCGATGTGACTGTACAAGCATAGGGTAACAATGAATCCTGATAAATGGTAGTTCATGTAGTTTTCTGATTAACTGGGAAGTACTCAGTGTGTTACACCGATTCCATGTGTTAGTATAAGCCATCCAGAATTACTGCTTACACTACCACTCGTTATTGTAACCCGATCGACTGTTAAATTGACCCTCGGTTACTATGCACTGAAGTTATTTTACAGGTATATTCTGATGTTTCATGGTAGGAATATTTCTATCTAGCAGTAAAAGCTTCTTATCACATGACTATTTGCAATATCAAAACAGTCGTATAAGGAATCTGGAGATGCATCAAGTTCATATAATTTTCGGTGCTACATAGTTCCCTCACCTACCTGTACAATGTTATAATATCTCCAAATCAGTTCAGACCTTTTGCGATATTCCCTTCAGTTCGATATGGGAACGGATTGAATTACCGTTAGAAAACGTACTTAGAGGCTATCGAAATAAGTCGTTCAAAGCAGCAAGCTGAATGTAGTTAGGATATTTGGGAATAAATACAAAGGGAAGTTTTAACCAGTCAGTATAGAAAGAGGTATGAAGCCTTGAAGAACAGTCTGTTCGCCACAACGTTTTGTAGACAACATCTGTTCTAATGACAATATAAACCTATTCCTACTCACTATTCTGTTTTATATCTATTTTAAAAGTGAACACTCACTTGATAATCACCTTCCGAAATTGTCTGTTTCAACTATTTTTGTTTTCATTCCCCATATTTCTGTGGAGCACGGACCTCAAGTTATTTCCTTCTTGATATTATCATTATTATCTTACAGACGAAAAATCGTCAGTCAAAAATATATATTCACATTCGATCTTTTACGAAACTATCAAGATTTGGACGAACAGTTTCACACGCATTGGACGTCCATTTATATCAGGACATTTAGCATAACCTTATTTGTATAGAGATCTTAGCCACTGAACATCAATGGCTCCAATGTATCACCTGAAAGACTGATCCGAGTTCCACCAAGTATGCTGTACTAGTGCAGAGTTTTTAGATCGAAGTTATCTCCACCAACTATTTTCCTGAAGATGATGAGGCCAGTCAGGCAAACGAAACATTTGAACCACTCACTTAAAATCCTTGAGATCTTTACGGATATGGTGAGCAATCACGTTTTCAGCAGTAATAATATTAGTTTTATCTGTTGGTCATTGACAGTTAATTCTATGATATTGTATATCTATAATGATTGTGTAAACTATCGATTGATTGATATTAATGACCACTTAGTTGATGTTGTATAAATCTGATTGTACATAAATCACATAAATTGTGGTGCATTCAAGTATCGGTTTTATTTTGCATATCAAATAAACCCTCATCTACTGTCATCGTGTTCTTACTTGCGCCATCCAATACGCGATTTTCAGTACTAAGTACCAAGTTAGTTAAGTATTCCACGGACACAGCATTTGCTAATTTAAATTAATCTAGATTTCTTTTATAGCTCTATTATTTACGACATGGTCAATAGTCTAGTATACCATCACAAACAGGTGAAGGCTTAACTTCGTATAAGTTCTATTAGATACTTATACTCTTTATAACAATCAATGGCTTGACTAGTTGTTAACATTAACTAGTTGATTCTGTCATGGCATTTAGATCTAGACTGTAAACAGTAACCAGAAAATCCTAACACTTAATCGCAATATTTTTCTTAAAGCTAATTATTTTCCAAATGCTACCGTCAAGTGTCATGTATTAGAGGGATTTGGTAGAGATTTTCTAATTAACATTTGTAATTCGCGAAAGTATTCTGAAGGTGTTTCTAACTAATATGTACATAAAGACAGATAAATAAATCACATCAGTACAAAGAGATAACAAACTTAGTTGAGAATATTAAAATTGTCACCAAGTTAGAAGGTATGACGAACCGAAGAATAACAATTATACATGTTATTGAGGAGATGCAAACGAATGTAGAATACATGAGAAGTGGACGAATAAAAGTCTTTCAAAACTTGCATAATGTCAATGTGCTCACGGTTGACGAGTGTTACTCACTAAAAGCATAACATGGAAACAAGTATCACCAAACTGACTATTACTTCCAAATAACATTCTCGCATAATTATTCGTAATCTGTATATACGGTTTCAAATTTCCCCATACTTCAATGAACGAAATATTTGAATAAAAGTGGTAGTCAATATGGACATATCAAGTTCGCATAGATGATTATTTATTCTGGAATACAAGATCTGACGAAGCATACGACTGTCAAATATATTAGTTCGGTTGTGGTGTTTGAATGGACTAATGATTCCTTTGTACTTTTTGCATGCTTGATTTCGAATTCCAATTACAGTACATTCGTTTGTGGTTATCTAGTACTGCTTGATCCGATTACGTTATTTCTGGGATTCTTAGTTCATACTATAATTCAAATACTTCTAATTATCATATCGGTTCTATTGGCCAAGTTTTGTGACTAATATATATACAGTACACTTTTGTTTGCTTATCTGTCTACCTATTATTCTTGTTCTCTTATTCCTCTAACCTATTAAGATTCGAAACACTCTGAGTAATCGGCACTTTTGTACACAATTCCTATTGGACCTGTCCAATCCAATGCTGGTTTTATCTCATTTTACTGCAATTCCGAAACATCTCAATTGTAATACAATTGGTAGACATTCTAGCTCCAGTGTTCTTATAATTCCAATGCTAATCCAGAATGATCTTACTCTGCTTCAGTCTGATGTCCATTCATTCCTTTAACAACCGAATTATGTTTACCATTACTGTAGAAGTCGGGTAACTTAATTAATCAAGCACACAATCAGTAATATTGAAATCCGAGTTCTCAGGCAATCCATTCATTTCTGGGTTTTCGAGATAAGTAATGCGAATACACCAATAACTTTCAAATTACGATATTCTATCCGAATTTTTCTATATATGTGAACAAATGAAACAATACTTAAAAACAAGTACTTTGAATTCTTTATTCAACTAAATAGAAACATTTTACAAATACATAGTATATAAAACAGGATAGAGAACGATCAGTGGAAATAAAGTTGGAAGTTAACAGATCAATAAGACAGAAAAATGAATACACAAGTTACATACAACAATCCATATCATGTATCAATTCAGAGCACTGTGAAATACTCAAAGTGAAAAACTGTCTACAAGGAAATGTACAAACAAGGTGATAACCACTTCTCACTTCATTCCATCGTACAACAAACACGTCATCACAACCATCAACACTATTAAATTATCGTAATTAACTATATGATGAGTAGTCTGAAATCAGTCACAACATAACACTCGCATCTATACACATTTTTAAATCGAACAAAACAATTCATCAAATGGCATTATGATGGTCACTTTTCAAATAATCGGGTCAAACGCCAATCATCACAATCAAGATGAAATGAGTGGTAGTTATTGTCAAGTTGAGAAGTGAGATGGTATTGAACCGGATTCACAGTGTTTTCTAAGCATGAATATACTGGTTGATTTGTGACCGACCAGTTGATTCAAAGCACTATCAAATAGAACTGAATGTTTACGAAGTTGGCAGTGAGCATAGCATTGAAATCTCGAGTAACAGACTAATGGATCTCAGTAAACAACTCAAATGAGACCATGACTTTGTGGCTAATAAATCTCATTTCCTCAAATCGCCCGGTCACTCTCTTCCTGGTTCAAAACGTGAATGGTCACTATGTACTACAAGTTTCAAAGTTCAATCATATGTTCATTCGACAGTCTATAAGCTGACTACACTCCGTCAAGTTTAACCAAATTTCGTGACTATCCATTAATTCAGCTCACAAACAACATCAAATGTCAGATATTGGAATGGAGTTCAGTTCAATCAGTTAGTCGGTTGTAAATTGAACTAAAATGACACAATATAATCCCTAATTCAATAATGACGACCATATCACTCTTAATAAATGATTTCGTTATCTTTTACTCTGAATGAATTAAGCTTAATTAACTGTGTTTAATGCACTCCTCATGAAATGACAAGTAATAGAATAAAGTTCGGTTCACTATTACTACCAGATTATATTAATCTGTTATATATAACGTAAATCTGTAACAGTATATGTTTTGAAATAATTCTTAATGAGTTATTATGTCTAGCATGTTACTAACTATTTTATATAATCAGCTATCCCAATAAGCAATAATTAACAATATACATAATAAGGTTCACCAATGCAAAAATGTAGATAAAGTAAAGTAACTTACTACAACATTGAACTTTATATTGAGTAAATTCTCGATAGTGGCGTACGACGTTATTTACTGGATAAAGTCTCACGGTCAATAGAATGCAGTCAACACCGTCCTGATCACACCAGTTTAATTTAAGTAAAAACAAGAAACAACAGAAAAAAAAGTTAATTTAATCTTCAGCAGTCATACGGAAATAAGAAATGTGAGCAGAAAGTACTCATTATCTAAGTCAAATGACAAACGAAATGTACAAACA